GAAATGGTTGAACATTAACCATTTCCTTTTGGTACAATGACTCTGTGTATTCCTTCCATCTTCTCTTGATGCATTCTGCATCATTCAGTAATTTGCCCAGAGAATCCTTCAATAACAAAAGTCGAGTCTTGAATTTTTTCTTCAGTTTCCCCAGCTTGAGAAATGCTGAGCGTGTTCTTCCTTTTTGGTTTTCTGATTCCAGGTATTTACACATTTTGTTGTAATATTTGGCTTTATCTTTTCGAGCTGATCATTGAAATTTTCTGTTCAGCTCATGGACCTCGTCATTTCCTCTATTTGCTTTAGCATCTCTGTGCTGGAGAGCAAGTTTCAGTGTCTCTATTGACATCCATTTTGACCTTTACCTTCTTTCTTGTCTGCTCAATGACTTTTTGCTTTCTTCGTGTATGATGTTCTTGATGTCATCCCACAACTCTTCTGGTCTTTGGTCTTTAATTCTAATAGTCAAACCCAATTTCCCTTAAGTTGTTTCTAACTCATGGTAACTCCATGAGTGTCAGAGTAGAACTAGGCTCACATGAGGTTTTCAATGGTTTAGATCATTCAGAAGGACATCGCCAGGTCTTTCTTCCAAGGTGTCTCTGGGTAGATTCAAACAGCTGACCTATTGGTTAGCAATCAAGCACTTTAACCATGTGCTTATCCAGGGATTTCTTCTCATAGAGAGCATTAGAAAGAGTCCTTTCCTTTTCTCTATTCATACTCTAAAACACAAACTGAATCCTCTCTGTTAGGATGGTGTTGAATGAAAATCTCTGGCTTCATGCCTGCCTTCATATCATGCCTGCCAAATCTAGACGTATAAGCAGTTTTTACATGCTTACCAGCCACTCCATCTCAGTCCTAGGTGGGGTTTACGAATGGGAAACGTTTATTTTTTCTGTGTGATGATGATACTTTAGGTTTATTTCCTCACAGTACAAACTCTCTTCACAAATATGTATTTACTCTGATCAATTCTTCATGCCCCAGGGGTTATTATATAATATAAACTTTACCTAGCTCATCTCACAATTTTAGCTATTCCATTACTTTATATCTGAGAATGGTTTAGTAGAAATGGGGCAGCCTTTAAAAGTGAGTAGGAACCACAGTACATTGAGTTAGTCTTCTAATATAATATCTCTATGAAAGTCTGTTGATGCCTGGGGACAAGGTTATGGCTTGTCCATTACATTGGGGTGGTCACTAATGTAGCTCCAGAAGTCCCCGGTACATTTTTTTTTTTTAAGAAGGGCATACCTATGAAAGAAGTTTAGCTCTGTGATTTAATATTTCGGTAGCCTTGCACAAGCACGACTTCCCTCATCCTCAGTCTTTCCCTTCTGGGAAATGGGGCAATACCTACTCTTACATCTGCTGGGTGGATGCAAGAGACAGTAGACTATGAAGTACTTGTTTGTTCCCTCCTCCCACCCTCCTTTAGACAAGAGCAGCTTTCTTTCCTCTTTGTATCATCCCCAATATGTTGTTGCCTGGGTCCCCTCCTCAATTAAGTGGCTAGTTCCCCTCTCAAGTCTGATCCTTTATTGTTCTTAAGTCACAAAGCCCAGTGTCAGCGTGTGACGGTGTGAGAGAAAGAGAGAGAATTGATCTGGTTTCTTTGAAAATGTCTTCTTTGCTAAAACCACCACCTGAGATCCGATAGTGAAAGAATCCACTGGCACTAGCCCTTGTCAGAACAATTCAGAGAGACCCAGAGAGCATCCTCCCGGACTGGCAGCCAGCCCCAAGCTGCGCTGCCTTCTCCAATTCCCAACAGGCTCTGGGGCCAGGCCCCAACACTCCACCCCATGCATGGAAATGGGGTTGGAAGAGGGTCTGGTGATCTGAAGCAGAACTATCTCCATGCGGTCAAGACTGAGGACTTCTTCCCTCAGAGTCAAGGTTTTATCGGGAGTCTCAGGGATGACTGGTGGGGAGGGGGGCACACACATCCCGGCTGCTGCCAATTCCTTTCTTCTCCCCACAGTGTGTTTTAGAAGCCGGCATGTAGTTCATTCTCCTCCTAAACACTTCTCGGGTGCAGGGCCTGGAGTTGCCATAGAAACACCTTTTAACTCCTCCTCACCCAGAAGGTTGTGCTAGTCTCCAGGGCTTTTGAAGAAAAAGGTACAAAGAGACACCTGTGGATGGGGAGAGAGGCTCAGGAAGGGGAGGAGAGGAGCCAGCAGAAAAGCCAGGCAACATGGCAGCTGGCCATGACGAGAAAACAACCAAGAAAGTTCTGGAACAGGAAGCTGACAGGCTGTGCATTTTTAGTGGGTTACAGAGCTGATGAGTGGGGTGGTCTGGATCAAGGGAAAGGTGTCAAAGGAGAGAACAAGCAGAACCAGAGAGGCAAGGAGCAAGGACAATGGTGGGCCACCTACTGGACATCAGCAGGGTGCTCTGGGTAAGACACTGGGAGGTCACCAGACAGGCAAGCCCACATCCACACCTCCCATCTTTAAAAGGATTAGCTCACCTCCATCACTAGTGCAATATACCAAACACAGGCACAGAGCGGCTCTGAATCAATGCCAGTGCAGCTTACAGTTTGCCTTTCTTCTATTATTATTACGTTGTTTTGCTACACCACAGTGCTCTGGTCTTTTGGTTGCTTTCTGGTACGTTCGTTGTTGTTGTTGTTGTTTTCAGGACAGTTTACTAAAGTGCTGGTGGTGGGTAGCTGTTTCTTGAATAAACCCCAGAAAAATTGCAATGACTTTCTACTTCAGTCCAAACCCAGAGCAAGAAACGTGGAGACAGAAGAGAACCCGGGAGGCCCCGTTGCAAACAGGGATGACTTGCTGCTGTTCTCACAGTTCAGTGTGAACTTCTAGGGTGAACACTAAGAGGTGAAGGGCCAGGGGGTGTGGATGAGGCCCCCTTCCCCAGAAGACAGTGCCTGTGAACACACCCAGATTGTGGTCAAGCAGCAAAGTCACCCCATGGCAAGTCCACTTACCCTCTTCCACCTGTTAACTCCCTATGTGTCTCACTTAGCAAGACCAAAACAGTGGCAGCTGCCAACTCCCCGCTTTAATCAGGGGGGAATGTCACCATTGGAATATCTGGGGGGGGGGGGGGTGTCAGGACTTGCCCAGCCTTGGGCAACAGCAATGCTTCCAAACAAAGTGCAAAGAAAGCCAGTAGAGACAGGAAGGGTACCCAGGGCGGGCACCAGGAAACCTCTACCAAGGGCAAAACCAGATCACACCAACACCCACGGTTGCCAAGTGAACTGACCTGGTCACCACAGCCACCTCTCTGACTTCTAGGTGCAGCCTGACCTACTAGCAGGACCCTTCCCAACTCAGACACCCACCCTTCACCAGACTCATGGGCAGCACACTGGACCCAGTGAGAGGTTTGCTTCCCACTCTTGAAACATACATCCACTGTTCTTCACCTCTGAATCTCCACCCCACACCCAGCACACACACACAGGGTCACTGGACTGGCATGCTTTATGAGCTGCAAAGGAGCAGGGGGGATGACTCAGCCACTGATGCTCCTCCTCTGGACATCCAAACACAAGTGTCCCAAACACTCCCCAATAAGTTTCCCAGGACACTCCCAAGACCATCCATAAAAACTGGTTCCACTTCTGACTCTGACATTGCAAGACGCCAAATCCAGTTTGGGATTGTTGTCATGGCTTGACCCTTGGCATTTTGAGTCTTTGGGTGACATATCTATTTTCTGCAGTTCAGGCTCTCCCTCATCCCCCCAACCCCCCCCCCACACACACACACATTCAAAGAAGGAAAAATAAATAAATAATCGCCTTCCTGTGAATTTTCACAGCTATGTGATAAATGAACCCTCACACAATTCACTTCCAACTTGCTCTCAACACTCTCAATAATAATTTCTCAATGGGGAGGAGAGGGTCAACCCCAGCCTTTTCTCTGAATTCTTTTCCCCACCTTAAATCCACCCAAAAGGGACTGTCTGCTGTTCTCAGCCCTAAAAGCTCAGCTCCATTAGCACTCTCCTGACAAACACAGGGCTTGTTAGGTCCCAGTGAAAAGGTTGAACTTCATGGGTGCTGGAGATGAAGCAAACTCTAGAATACTCTCTTTGCAACTTCCAGCACATGGTTGGCAACTGTTTTTTTGTCTTGTTTTGTTTTTTTTTTTAAATTACCCCACAACGTAGCACTTTAGCTAGTATTGCAAGTTTAAGAAAAACTTTCCCCCACCCTTCTCCAACACTTTCTCTGGAGACTGGGTCAGGAGAATTTTCCGGATGTCAAAAGGACCCACAGGGGCCTCATGCCCCCAAAGGAAGATCAAAGGAGGCAGGGGGTTGGTTCATTTGACCCGCTGGGATTCCTGTACAGGGAATCCCCCTACCCCCACCCCCTCAGCTGTGTCAGAGCCCCGGCCCAAGGAAACGGAGTCTCACCAGCCCGTCCCAAGCATGTTTGCAGAGAAAAGAGAGGGGCTACTCATGCCTCCCAGAGCAGCGCCCCAGCGGGCTGCAGAGCGCGCGACCCATCACCGCGGGGTCTCCAGCTGAGGGTCCCGGAGCTTACCGATGTCAGAGTTGCAGAAGGCATCCTGGGGGTGGCTGGGCGAGCATGTGCACGCCTCGGCGCCCCAGTTCCCCAAGCTCCAGCTGCCCAGGAGCACGAAGAGGCCGAGCCAGGGAGTCATTGAGACGATCGCCACGGCGGCGGCTGCTGCTCGCCTCTTCAAAGTTGCTGTGCGTGTCTCCCGCGGGGCTGCCGCAGCCGGGCTAGCCGTCCGGCCGAACCCGGCAACTTTGGGCGCGGGCGCGCTGCCCTCCGACTGCCCGGGCTGGACGAGATGGGGCGGCGCACACTCTGCGAGTGGGCTTTCGGGCCGAAGAAGCAGGCGCTGGAGCCGGACCACAAGGCAAGGAGACGCTGTCCGAGCACCGGTCTGCTACCCGCTCCCTGCTTTGCACCGCTGCCCCTGCGGCGGGGAGATATAGCGCGGCTCCCTCCCTGTGCCCCCACCTTGGGTGCTCCTGGCCCGCCTCACCGACCAATGGCAGAGCCGCATGACCTCATCGGCCCTCCGAGAGGGGGCGGGGCCGGGGCGCGGGGCGGGGCCGCCCTGGCCCGTTCAGCTCCTTATAGGGAATAAGGCGGCTGTGGGCACGCGAGTGGGTGGGCTGGGGCGCTCCCCAGACCCGCGTTGGCCGGCTGTCCTTCGCAGCTGCGCCCACACTCCGCTTCCCGCCTGCACCCTAGTCCTACGTCTAGCCCATCCTCTAGGTGCCTCTGACCCAAAGCAGAATCAACTACCACCGGTCCACACCACCACCACCCCCCCAGCACAGCCCCCTCCACAGGTCAGAGACGGAACGCCTCAGGGAAAATGCTAGCCCTCTGCCTCGTCTTGCAGGCTCTGAGGAAAGACCAGCTGAGTTGGGGGGAAGTCTGATACCTGTTTGGAGATGGCCACATTGATGCTTGTTTCCTACCTGTCCCTCTCCCCAACTCCCAGCAAATGGGGTTGTGGATTCATTCTACAAACACTCTTATAGACACCTGGGGTGAACAAGACAAAACCTTATGGAACTTACTGGTAATCTATTAGTAAACGCATAAACACATGCTGTTGTTGTTGTTAAGAACACATGCTGCACTGATCTGTAATTGTTAGTGCCATCGAGTTGGTTCTGACCCCTAGCGACCCTGTATAGGGTTTCTGAGGAGTGGCTGGTGAGCTTGAACCGACGACCTTGTGGTTCAAACCAGTTTTACAGTCCGGGGCGTATTAACCCGCAGCACCACACCAGGACTCCTCTGTTCTATAATAATGGGTTAGAAATAACGGGGGAGGACTCTGCTTTCTATGGGATAGTAAGCAAAGGTCTCTCTGAAGAAGCGACATCCTAGCTGAGATGGGAGCACCAGGAAGGACTAGCCAAAAGGCAGCCTGGGAGAAGAGTACTTCAGGCAGGGGGAAGAAATGCAGGCCTTGAACTCATTTGAAGAACAAAGTTAGAAAGGATGGGAAAGTGGTAACCTTGCCTACCTCAGGCAGGTTTCCATCCTTAGCAAAAATTTGGGGATGAACTGACTCAAGTCTATGTAAATCCAGTTGGGCTGCTAGCCTCAAAGTCCGTGGTGTAAGCTGTTCCTTGGGAAAAACATGAGGCTCTATTCCCATAAAGATTGACAGCCTTGGAAATGCTATGAGGCAGAATTGACTCCTTGGCAGTTGCTTCTGACTCATGGTGGAGAACAACCCAGGATCCTTAACTATAATTGATAATCTTGGTGTGGTGACATAGGATAAGCACTGGATCTCAAGGTGGTGGTTCAAACTCACCAGCCACTCCTCAGAGACCCTATTTAGGGTCGCTATGAGTCAGAACCGACTCCACAGCACTTAACAACAACAACAATACTAATACTGGAGTCCTGGTGTGGTGCTGTAGGACAAGCACCGGCCTGTTAACCGGAAGGTCTGTGGTTTAAACCCACCAGCCACTCCTCAGAAACCTCAAACAGTCACAACCGCCTTGACAGAACTTAACAACAACACTGTTACTATCTGTATTATTAAGTAACACCTTGAGGCTGTATAAGGAATCAAGTCTCCTGCATTGGTTTGGTTCGGGGTTTGATTCTGTTGTTAGTTTTTAAAAGCCAGGTTCCATGTCACATCTCATTATATTTTACAGTCATCTTTCTAGGTAGGAAAGGTGCAAGATATCATTCACATGTTCCAGGTGAGGAAACGCACCAAGAGCTGAAATGACGCAGATCATTCATTTACACTGATTCTTATTGCAAGAGATATGTTTCTTTCTCCAAACTTTGTTGTTGTTACAAGAGACGTGGACAGAACTAAACGTTGCTGGGGTGGTGCTGTAGGATAAGCACTGGACTGCTAACCACAGGATCGGTGATTCAAACTCATCAGCCACTCCTCGGAAATCTTATACAGGGTTCCTATGAGTTGGAACTGACTCTAGAGAACTTAGCAACAACACAGCCATTGATTTGCTCCTGTCTATTGCTGCCGCCTTTTATATTTAGAGTGATTTCCATCTTAGGTGACTCACCTTCCAGTGCTGTACTGGACAATATTCTGTTGCACTCTATAGTTTTGTGTTTTTTTTTCCATAGGCTTATTTTCAGAAGCAGATCACCAGGCCTTTCTTCCTAATCTTTCTTCATCAGGACTTGAACCATCACACCTATCCCGGGCCATCAAGTTGCTTCTGACTCATGGTAATACTGTAGGAAGAACAGAGTAAATCTGCTCCGTAGTGTTTCCAAGACTGTTAAGTTTGTATTGAAAGGAGCTCTGGTAGCATAGTGGTTATGAATCAGGCTGCGAACCTTAAGGTCAGCAGTTCGATACTACCACGGGAGAAAGATGAGGCTTTCTGCTCCCGTAAAGATTTACAGCCTTGGAAACCCTGTACAGGTTCACTATGGGTCGGAACCGACTCAACAGCACTTAATAACAACACCACCAATAAGTGTGTACTGAAGCAGACAGCCTTTTTCACCTCCCTCAGAGCAGCAGGTAGGTTTCACCCACCAATCTTGAGATTAGCAGCCCAACACTTAACTCATTGCACCACCAGGGGTCCTTAGTTTGGGTTTTAACTGTGGTTAAGCTTAAATTTGGAGTCCTGGTGTGGTGCTGTGAAGTCGGCTTGAACTTCAAGGTTGGTGGTTCAAGTTCACCAGCCTCCTTGGAAATCTTATACAGAGTCCATACGGGTTGGAACCAACTCGACAGCGCTTAACAACACGCTTAAATCTAACTGCGCAAATGCCCTCTATGTTTCTCTCTCAGTCTCTCCAGTCTCATCATGTTAGAAAAAGATTTGTATGTCTTGGCTATAAGAATGCTAAATGTTGGAACAAAATAAGGGCTGGGAATATTGGTCAGAAAATACAAGCTCCACCTCTTTCTCAGAAATGCCTATATTTACAGCTCCAAGAAGTGAAATTAGAATGACCGATGTAGAAATTGTCTTCGGTATTTCCAAGAACAATTTTCAAACTATCTTTTCCAAACCCCTAAACATTTTGCTGTAGGGAATCTAGTTTCCACATTTTAATACCTTGTGCCCCTTCCAACTTGAAGAATCATCTTACCTCTAACTATATAGTCTAATCCCCAGAGACCTTTTCCCTCTCAACATTTACTCCAACGGTTTCATTGTTTCATTAAATACAGTTTTGCTATTTTCTCAAGCAGAGTGCCTAGGTAGTACAGACCGTTCACACACTCAGTTGCTGACCAAAAGGTTGTGGGTTCAAGCCCACCCAGAGGTGCGTCAGAAGAAAGACCTGGCAATCTGCTTCTGAAAAATCAGCAACTGAAAACCCTACAGAGTACAATTCTACTCAGACATGTGGAGTCATCGTGAGTCAGAGTCAACTTGATGGCAACTTGTTTGTTTGGGTTGGGTTTGGTTTTTATCTCAACCACACTAGCAACACTTTGAGGCATGAGATCTTTGGCCACTCTTCTTAAATTCTCATAAACACAACAGAGTTCCCAGGAGACTTAGGTGTGGATCTGGCCAGCAAGCCATGCAATAGCAAGGAGGCATTCAGGGGAGCAGCCCATTGATGCAGATCGAAGGAGAGATTTGTAAGACTTGCTTCTCTCTGCCCAGTCCCAGATGCAGTCATGTGGAAGACGTTAGAAGATTTTCCCAGGCCAAATCCCAATCTTATGGGACTTAGGTCCTCTCTTCTCTTTTTTCTTTTTATTTGATACTTTGTCCAAAGTGCTAATAGTTTCTCCAAGGAAAGGACTTGCCTATTAAATGCTATCAGGCTTTTGTTGAAACTTTTGCTAAACTTCAAGCAGCAGGTTGCTTACAGAAAGCATCTTAAACATCGGATTAGGGGAACTGCTTAATTATGTAAAGCAGGATTATTCCTGATTGTTTTTCCAGTTGAAAGGTGATAAAATTGCCTTTCAGGTTATTGCCTTGTGCATTCTACCCTAAGCTGGTACAGAGTCTTTGGAGTTCAGAGAGCACGAAGATTCTTTCCGTTGGGAAGCTCTCCCTAATGCCTAGCTTGAGGGGTGTTCCCTCCACTTTCCCATGTGAGATCAGCTCCATTCTTACGCAGAGGAAGAGAAAAGCTGTAGGCATCCTCATGGTAGAGAGCCCACCCAGTTATGCCTCAGGATGTCACAGTGTCTGTGAGTCTAATAGTAGCTATGAATGACTTTTTCAAGGCTGTTTTCTAAGTTGGATGGAGTTGTTGTTGTTATGTGCTGTGGAGTCGGTTCCGACCCATAGCGACCCTGTACAGGATTTCCAAGGCTGTAAATCTTTATGGGAGCAGAAAGCCTCATCTTTCTCCCACAGAACAGCTGGTGGTTTTGAACTGATGACCCTGAGGTTAGCAGCCCGATTTGTAACCACTACACTACCAGAGCTCCTTTTGGATGGAGTAGACCTGGAATTAATGGTTAAGAATGAAGACGGTGACTCTTCGGCTTTCTCTTGACAGCTAAGAACGATGGTACATTTATAAACCTGGGAATAGCTTATGAAGTTTCAATATCTGTCTGAGCTGTCCTCAAATCTACCAGGCTGACCTGTCAGTCCCCTTTTCTGAAAGTTTTGTACAAAAGATGAATCTCTGCCTACCTCCTTCCTGTCAAAGTATAAGGTACTGGAGTCTGTAGAAATTGTTCCCATAAACGTTTAGAATTAAAAAGGACCTCAGAGCTCCACTGTTCTCATTGTGC